GGGGATCAAACTCACACTGAAGTGTCTCTGGCTTGCTTGCAGTGCTGCGTCCCAACCCGTTGAGCCACCAGGGAGGGCCCAGGGCTGCATTCCTTCTTTCTGGGTTTTTCCTGCCATCACCCCAAGTCCCTCATCTCAGACATTTATGGCACACACTTATTTTATTAAATTCTAAAGCCAAAAGAAAGGCAGAAGCCCTTTTAGGCTAGAAATAACGAGAGCCAGCACCATACTTCAGTCACCACCCGCGAGGTTGACTGGGCCTCTCCTGAGAACTGTTCACCCTGATCAGGAGTGAAATCCCTGGGAGCTGTGCAGGTGAATGGACTCTCGGACCAAGCATGCTGACTAGATTTGCTATCAGGACCCCAGCAACAAACTCAGGGGAGCCAAAGTCAACAGAATCTTGTGACAGTAGGCATTTGAGTTCAGATTTGAGGCTCAGCACCATAAACACCCCGAGATTTCTAGGAGAGCATTCCTGGCAGCCCGGGCGTAGTAAGAAATACTGATGCAATATTACTTCCAGTGACCGACTCTAAATTCTAGAAAAAGAACTGTTTAGCAAGCCCTGCCCTGCAGTGATAAAGGGAGGCCTTTGGAAGGCACACCTTTCAGGAAAGACCCTTCTGAGTGAGGCTTGGGAATGCGTCTCAGGCCCGCCTCAGATTCGCACTGGAGCACATTCAGAATTTCCATCACAAATCTGGGTGTGAGGGGTTGTTGCAACCAGTGGTAAGGCCTCTGGGCCATTGGCTTTCTTTTCTGGAATTCTATTTATGTTAACAAATAAACAAAACCTTTGTCCTGCTATTTTATTTAGCACAAAAAAAAAAAAAAAAAAAAAAAAACCCTGGTGCCAGTGAACATTTAGCAGGACTGTAAGTGCTACCTGGCCAGACAGAGTTTTTCTTTCCTTGCAAACCAGAATTCTGAGAACCACACAAAAGGATCGACTGTAGTGATCTCTGCTGCCCTGCGGCTTTCCTGCTCCCCTCCTGCTCTTCTGTAGAAGGCCCTCACGGTGCCTGGTCTTTGGGAGGCAATGGGAAGGCTGTGCTGGCTGAGGTCTAAATAGGAGAACACCAGGTGGTCCCATGACATCCTCAGAGCGGAGCACCATGGCCAGGGGCCAGGGAAGGGGCATTGAACATTGCCCACAGCCTCACTGGTGTGTGTGGAACTTTCCAGAAGCATGTCTTCCTGACGGGCCCCTTTGTTTTGTTTTGGTCCTCTCCCTAGCCGGTGATGAATCACAGCTGGTGGGTTTGTCTGTCATGGTCCCATCCAGAAGCAGATGGCGAACTCAAAATAGCGGTGATTGTTTCACAGGGGGATTCTTTAAAGGAAGGTGGGGTACAGGGAACCATAGAGAAGGGCGTGAGAGCCGGGGCAGTGGCCTCTCCGTTGCTGGCTGACGAGGTGACAGAAACTATGACCAGAACCTTTTCTACAGTTAAGAGTGTAGAGAGGGGCCCTCCCTGGTGGCACAGTGGGTTAAAGAGCAGCACTAAGATGCTAAAGCCGCTTCCGCATGAGTTCGATTCCCGCCTGCCCCGGAGGTGACCACATGGTGTGGCAGACCTCTCCTGACCCGCCCACTGCTCCCCTCAGCAGTGTCGATCTGCCTGTTCTGCTCCCCACTCTGTCTCTGGTGAAGCCTCTCGCCACCCCTGAGTCTCTGGCCTGTTCCCTAGTTCTGTATGCACAAATAAATAAATCGTTAAAAAAAAAATTCCCAAAAAAAAAAAGAGTGTAGCGAGGGCAGGCGTGGGAGAAGCAGGGACTGCCCCATGAGGGTGCAGCCCAGGAGGTGACCTCTGTACCACCCTGAACCTCGGTCTCCCACTGAGGTCCCCACTGGCCAAACCACATGGGACGACATGGGGATGAATTCCATGCTGCTCAGCCTTGGAGACAGGAAGCCACTGGGCCTGGAGGAGCAAATGCACCTCATAGTGGGCAGAACCCCATTCTACATGAATGAGCCCACTGGCCTGTGGGTTACATAGTCATTCAACAAACATGTGATTTCCACTCCGAAGAACAGCATGTGGAAATCTGCAGTCTTTGCATCTCCCGCTGGGCGCATCATGGCCTGGGCCTGGGGTTCCCGTGGCTCTCTGATAGCACCTAGTAGTGCATCATCTCCATCCCATAGTGGGCTGTCGGGGGTAGTCGGACTTGCCTAGGCACACAGCTGGTGAGGAACAAGACACAGCCACACAGGAGACCCCCTGCCCACCTTCTGTGTCCCCCTGGGGCAGCCTCTTCCTACCAGGAAATCTTCCTACCAGGGGAAGAGTGATCTGTTCGTGTTGAGAAATCTTCCAGAACTTTTGTGGCAGGAAGACTTGTATCCAAACCCTGGGAGGCCTGGACAGTGACCTCCCTACCTTAGCACCAAGACTGGAATAGCTTCACTGCTCTTTCGCAGGCGAAAAGGAGGCCAGCTGGGCCAGGAAGTACAGACGCCCACGTCAGAGAGGCCACGAGAGCGCAGGCCCAGAAAGGACCCCTCTGCAGGGTTGAGGGATTGTTCTCTGTGGACGGGCCCTGGACGTGTGCCGGATGAAAATATAGTGTGACAGATGTGAGAGGGAGGGCCCAGGGGTGCAGGTGGGCGCTGCGGAGGGGCTGTGGCATGCTGGCCCCAAGCCTCCCACCCCTGCACCCGCATCTGACCTGCTGAGCGCTCAGGAAGGGACAGGGTATACTTAGGAAGATGCATCTGATGATGCCTGTGTACAGATCTCAGCGAGGGTCCCTGGCCCAGGGCTGCATCAACACAGTGAAACTTGTCAGAAATGCCAGCCTGAGGGCACCCCAGACCTAGAGTCAGGACTGGGGGGTGGGTTCAGCAACCTGTTCCCACAGCCCTGATGGAGCGGGGGACTCAGAGGCACGCTCCAGTGGACAACCACTGCTGTGGGGTCACTGACTCCATTAGAGGTAGGGGGTATCCAGAGGACCCTGACAACAGGGAGCCCCACGATGTGTCCGGTGGGTGCTGGGAAAGGGAAAGGAGATGGCTTCCCTTGGGCGGGGCGTGCAGGACTGACTCCGACCAAAAACGGGGCCACAGGACAGCGGGGAGCAGCCCAGGGATGTTAAGACTCTCTCTGAGGGTTTGGATCAGCTTCTGTCAAAATTTAGGGGCAGCAAGGCAGGGGGCCTGGCCTGGGGTGTGTGTGGGAGTAGGGGTACATCTACTCTCAGAAGGTGGCAGGTGGCACTTGGCTCCCTAATTCATTTTTCTCACAGCCCTGCTAGGGCATGGGCTTTGGAAAGACATGGGGGGGTGGGTAGGATGAGTAGATAGCATGTGATTCTTTGGGAGGGGAGACAGAAAGGTACAGTAATTACTCTGGTCACTAGGAGGTCAGAGGAGGCTTCAGGGAGGGAGGGTGCATCAGAGGCGGCTTCCTGGTGGAGGCGTCTGGTCTCAGGCAGTGAGGTTGCCCGGTGGGCTGCAGCATGGGGGTGGGGGGAGCCCTCTGCCACCGGCTTTCACTGCTTCGCCCTCACCAAAGCGCTCTGAGCCGGTCTGCTGTGGCCTGTGGGGCCAGCAGCCTTTCAAGGGTTTGTAGGAGGGATGGCACCAGCAGGGGTCTCACGACTAAGGGATGCAGCGGGGGCTGGGGGCGCTCATCTACAGAAAATACAGACAGGGGCCCACCCCCATCAGGGGCTGGAGCAGAGCGGTGAGCGCGCACCGTCCAGGGCCTGGCCGAGCGCAGCGGGGAGCCTTTTAGGACTGGACTTCACCGCGGTGCTTTGTGTCTTTCAGGGCTGTCAGGATCGCGGGTGAGCGCCCTTCTCTCTTCCCTGCGGCTCCAGCGAGGACCTTGAAGACCTGTTTGGCGCTTCAGGGCGCACTGCCTGGAACCCTTAGCTTAACACGCAGCGGCG